ACTGTATCTGTTACATCTGGTGTGAAAGCTTGGTACTGTTGTTCAGCATCAAGACTGTAATGGATTTAAACAGGAAGGAGATTTCACCTCAAGTGAGGTTATATCTGAGATAGAAATTTGTACCTGGCTCTGCTCTGACATGTAATTTGGTGAGCTGATTGTTCTATGGACAAATGTGCCGAAGCATAATGAGGGCTTCCTATGTTGGGCTTGGGACCTCTGTTTTCTTGGCCCTGATCGCATGATACAGGTGCAGACACTGAGGCCACACTGGGTGAGTTCAAGCCAGTGCAGGCATCTTCTATGGTTATTACATTAGGGTTTGCCACATACGGTAGCAAATGTTTTCTTGATGTGCTGAAAAAGGCAGCCTGCCATTTCAGCAGCCATCTCCCTCAAGCATTTGGCAGGAATCACAAGGTGCTTCAGCCAGTCAGCTAGCGGAGGGCAGAGTGTTTTACTCATATCACTGTTACAGCCGACCTTTCCAAATGTAGTGATCACCTAAGTAAGGCATATTTGAGAGACTAGAGAGTGTACAGAAGTTATCACGAACTTCAGTGAGCTTCGTAGCAGCCTAACCCTTCTGCCGACTTCTCAGAGTGTTGCAGAGCACCTTTGAGCCAGCTGGCATCATCCCTCTTTCCAACATGTCTTGCTGTGAATTGCATCTCATCAGACTTCAATTCAGGGTTGCTGTTCAGCATCAAGGATCATACAGACCTGTCTTTTCTCCCTTTCTCCCAGTTTCTTTCTCTTGATGCTGCAGCAGAGACTTAGGTTGTCGACTTTCAGAGAAGAAGAGTAGGTCTCTTCTTTTTTCCTGTATGGGAATGATTGTAATTGGAGAGAGATGATCCTATTCACTTCTTTAAGAAGGTAAGAATGATTCTTGAAGGAGAAATAAGAAGGCAGGTTTTACAAAACAGAAAGTCAGCATAAATTGACATATTTTCCAGAAAATCTCACAGCCATAAAATTGATGAGTTTGTAGCATTACAGGCAGTTGTGTCTCACACTTTGTTTTAAGGAGACTCCGCTATCGGTGCAGGACACAGGAGAGCATCTGAAGGAAGCTTTCAGCAGTAGGCAGCAGAGAATTCCAAAGGCAGCAATAGCTACCAAACTCAGCAATGTGTGAGCAATGTCTTCAGATATATTTCCAGTGCTTTGGCATGTCCTTACAAGTTCTTGAAAACAGTGGAATTTATGCACAGAATCAAGTACTTCTACTGAGTTGAAGCTGAGGTTGCAAATACACAGCCAGCATCTCTCCACATACTGTACACTTACATCAGTCTCTGCAAGGATGTCATTGGCCCAGGAATTCACAGTTGCATTTGGATGTCTGTAAGAAAACTGCCTGGCATACTCTGTTTAAGTTTGCATCTTAGCCAGAATTTTTAAGGAAATAAGTTATCTCCTTAGCAGAATAGGAAGTTAGATTTATTTTGTGAGAGGAGTTTCTCCTTGCTGAAGTTAAGAGTTTTTTTCCTCACAGTTTAAATGAGTTAATGAAAACACAGTCAGAGTAGCTGTCCTGTCTTTGACACTGAGTTTTTCCCCTGGTTTTCTAGATAGGTAAAGCATCTTGCACAAACAACCATGAGTCAGATAGGTTCAGATTCAATTCTAGCCTGACTAGTCTCACTCAGTTTTTACTTACGTACAGTATCAATAACTGTGGCAGAATGTGTTATTAATATTCTGATGGTGCCTTTAATGAAATAGCTACTGAGTGGGATATGAGAAGTCAGTGTGAAACTGGCTAGCCTCAGTTACTGCTTTGTAAACTTATTATCTATTTCCATATAAATATGGTACAGTATAAAACATCAACTAATTACATTTTATGCCATTTCAAGTGAGTTCCAAGTGAAACCCTGGACAATGGGTGCTTTGGCAGCTCTCTGATCTCAGTCTTTCCATATAAATATTCAGTGCTTTTCAAAGTGGAGTGGTCTCGGACCCCCAAGCACATAGAATTTGCCAGCTTTTGTGCTGAGGGCTGACCCAACATGGCAGGATTTGATTTCCATCTGTAAAATTGACTCCACCAGTTCTGTAGTTCTGTACATTTTTCTCCCTGTCTCCCATTTAGCATGTTAGTCTGCTGACAGTAGAGTACACAGCACTTAGCAGCTGGTTTGTGGAACCATCAGTCAGGAAATTGTATGATAAATAGGAGGTAGCCAGGTTTAGTGGCACTTTATTCTGCTTCAGCAGTTTTAGCCTGACTTTGGAAAAGTCATCATGTGATTTTTCTTAAGGGTTGCAACAAGAGATGGCTACAGTGTAGTAACTTATTACACATACACTTGAGTTACGATGTTCACCAGCTGTATTGCTCATGTGTAAATAATAAACTGTGAGATGGATAATTATGTTGGGGTTTGATATGCAGCTCTGCTCCGGACGGCTCAGGGCTGACAGAGACAGCTCCCTGTGCCATGATGGAGTACGGCTGTTTCCCAGATGGAGACTACAAACAAGATGCAACCAAGATATACAAAGGCGCTTAATGTGAGAGGACTCAAAAAGATGTTCTTGGAGATTTATAGCCCATGCATAAATAAAACTTGTTGATGATCTGCACTGCATAAGCCCCACAGAGGAAAATACCTTTTTTTGGGTTGTTTAATACTAAGTTTCCATTTCTCAGTGGAAAGTAAATTAGACATTGAGGAGGTCAAATGGTGTTTCACTACATAATTACTAGGACTGCTTTTAATGGGTAGGCGCTCAGGCTGGGCACGTTGGGACAGTGAGGAGGCTTGGCATCCTGAGTGGGATTTCATGTTTTGGCCAGGTGAACCACATTCTGTCTGACATGAATATGGGTAGCAAAATCTCTGTGGTCTTACTTGTGCTCTCCAGACTCACTCTTTGGAGGAGACACATAGGGCAGGGAAGGATTTGCCTGTGCATTTATGAGGGTGTAAGTTACTTCCTTTTTTTGCTGAAAAAATGGTGGCAGACTTTATACTGTAAAATACTAGACATCTGCTTTCAAATCTCCTCCCTTTGGCTTATGCTGCTTGTAGTCAAATAGCAGTTTAGCAGGGAAGAGGGCAGGCAGGGAGATGTGCTAAAACACACTTCCCATGTCCCTTTTCCCCTTCGCCTTGCTGGGGAATGTTTTTCAGGAGGTGGCAGCAAGCATCCTCCACTCAGACAATGACAGTGTGTTCCCAGTCATCTATGACCCATTTTTTTACCTCCATTGGAGACCATGAGTGCTTGGCATGGGGAGTGTAGCGCATAAAGATTGCATGCCAAGGTCCAGTCGGTGCAGCAGAGCCCAAATTAAGAATACTGTGAGTTTGAGCTCCCTTACATCATAAGCCACAATTATTTTTCTTTTATGGTTCCTAAGTCAGTAAATGGCTGAAATGTGCTGTGGCTAGTCACATGCTGATTTCCTTTCACAAAATCAAGCTGTGTAACTGGACAGTCTGTGTCAGATGTTTTCCAGGCTTCCTTGAAATACTGGGAATATTTCCTCAGAAATTATTTCCCTCTTCATCCTCTGTGTGAATTCCCTCAGTGCAATGAGGTTTGTTCCTCTCATTCTTCCTGCACTTCAAAATGCAGTAATAAAGCAACCAACTTTTTAAAAAATCATGATGAGGAAAAATTTTTTTTTTTTTTTTAACGAACTCTAGTTGAGACCAGGGAACTGCTTTCACAAATAATACCATCTAAGAGAAGGTTTACATTTTGATGAATAGGAAAGGTGGGAAATATAAAGAAAAGATACTTTCAAGAGCTGGTGGGCAAAACTTCAGTAGAATTAGTTTTACTGCCAGTACATGATTGAAGTTTCCTTTTTTTTCTAGAAGCATTTTAGTAAATCCATGACATGACCTAATGTCTGTACTTCTCAGCCTTTGGTGTCAGACAAACACGTGACATCACCCAAAGTGGCAATTGGGTAATGGTTGTGCAGGATCAGTTTGTTTCATGCTGCTGGAGGTGCTTAACATTTCCTTGGAATTGTGAGCATTTGGGAGGCAGTGGTGAGCAGCGTGTAACATCTTGAGGCACACAGATCACAGTGGTGTGCTGGTGAGGGAAGCTGTAATCTGTGTGAGCTGTGCCCCTCGAAGCTGGGGGACAGTCCGGCTGCAGAAGCTGTGGGGAGGGCGGGATGGTGCCTGACTCCGGAGAGCCCATGGGGTGTCAGGGGTGCATTCCCCCTTTTGTCAGCCTATCTCCAAGGCTCCCCGGAAGCAGTGGGAAACAGGAGTTCTGACAGCTGCAAAATCCCCTTCCTGTGAAAGCCATGGAGGACATAGAGCAGGGGAGTTTACTGCACCCATGAATCCCTGGGTCTTCAGTCATGGGGACAAAGAAAGTACCCTTCCTTGTTAAGAGGTGGGCGTGAAATGAGTCTCTCTGTCCTCACACACATTCTTCCAGGTTCAGCCATTGGTGTGGTGCAGTTAAACATCTCCAATATGGCCTTTCCCAGTCACATTTGCCTTCGAACATCGTTGTCTGATTTACTCCAGTTTTACTTATGTTTCTCAGCATGTCACTTCAGTTTGGCTTTCTGTTGTAGGCCTGTGTGTACATCTCTGAGGATATATGTTTTTATTGCATTGTATTCTCTGCTTAGGTTTTTTTTTCCTGGGATGATTTTTTTTCTTGTTTTAATACAAAATAAATCAGGAATGCTTGTGAAAGCTGTGATGGTCCTTTTGATCTGGTGCTTCGCATATGGGCACATAATTATTTATTAAAGACTTTTTTAATGCCCTTTTCCATTTAAGCTATAAAAAAATATTAAAATTAGTAAATACATATTCATGCAAACACTGTGGGCCAAATTCTCCTCTCAGAGAGACCTGACTGATAGCATCATGGAAGGAGATTGTGACCCCTAAGTCATAGCACTCTTAACACATGCTTTTCAGTAACTGCTCTGTCTTTATGAATGTTGTTTTTAAAGAATCATTGGAGATATTCAGATCTGGGAACCTCACTTGTCTTTTCAGATCCTCCTCACCTTTTTCCAGCATTCCACCCTCCTGTACCAATTGATGCAAGACATCATGAGGGACGCTACCATTACGAACCATCTCCCATTCCTCCTCTGCATGTGTGAGTATTCAGTGTTCCCCCTTGCTTCCTGAAAGAATGGACAAATATATGAACCTTTGCAATGCTTGAAACCATGTACCTAAAGCACTTTTCCAGTCTTTTCAGAGTGCGAGATTTACTTTTGGAAAGCATTGAGGTTATCTTTTCATAAAGCAAAACCTATGCTGGTGCTTGAGGAATTCCTGTTATAATAGGTAGCTGGCATAGGTTACCTCTGTCTTTTGCTGACATTTATTCTGTATTATGTCATTGTGTAAAGGCTAAACTAAAAAGGGCTGAACCCTGTGAAATACAGCCAGATAAACATGTATTTAATCTGTATTAAGCTTGGTATTCTTCATGGCTAAAATTTCCTTGTTTACAAAACAACCATTAGGTTGGTTTTCTTCCCTAGTGACTGCTATGAAGCATAATGAAATTTTTAGTAAATTTTCTTAGTCCCTGTTGTGTGCACATATAGGCAATCGGTTGATTGATGAGAATGTCACCCAAACAAAATGGTAAATGTGATAGAGCACATGGTTTACACAAAGATAAAAGAAATGAATACCAGTGATAACATGCATAGAAAAGGGTGGTAGTGGTGAAATCCTGTAGAAATTAATTTTATCTTATTCCACATGGGGAGACGGATATCAGCATTGCAAAATAAACCAGTAGATGTGTCCAGAAAACTGCTAAATACCATTTAAAATGGAGCCGAAAAGCAGGGCTTGGTACTTCACTAAAAGGTTTGATGTATAAATTTAATCATATCTACTAATCACCTCTCACACTGAGGAAATACAAGAAGAAAAGCACAAGTAATACTTTGAAGAATAATGCTAGTTGTTTAGATGGCAGATTGCTTTTCTATGGCTATTAGTTACAGCTGTGTAATTACATATATGCAGAAGAAAAATGAAGTTGTTTTAAAACAAGTCCTCCTCTGTGAGCAGAATTAATTGATATTAACAATCCTAACTATATGCCCAAGTACACACACAATATTTTACTAACAGGTTTTTTGGGTCAGTCTTCTATTACTGAATTGTAATTTCAGAGCAAATTTGCCTGGAGGTAAGTAATAAATCTGTGTTGCAGTCTTCTTGGGCATTAGAGGAAAAGTGGGTATTTATAGAAAGAGAAAGCACAAAAGTTTGTGATTTATTCCTCAGGGTTCCTGAGATGCATCACCATTTAAACCACGATCTACCACATAATAAAGTACACTCAAATACATGCTTAAATTTTCTGCTAAATACTGTTGTAAGCTGAAGGTGGCAGGATCAGACAGTCATTACGGGGCCATCCTAGATTTTGCATTGCAGTCAATATTCTACATGGATGGATGTTTCTGGAAGCTGGGGGCGATGATCCTGCTCATTTTGAAGCTAGTGGGGAATTTGCCTTTGTATTGGGCAGATGGGGTAGGGAGTTTTAACCTGCACCAGCAGAGGACCATCATCCAAGACACAAGTACTGCCTACCAGCTTGGAAGAGGCTTCTGGAAGTCTGTGCCATGTGGGATCCTTCCTGCATTTGCTGAGCTGAGCCCTCCCTGGAGCCTCAGTCCCATGAACCCCGTCCACAGCATGGCACCCCAAGCCCACAGCAGGGCTTTTGGGTGGGTAGACCAGTGTTACCTGCTTTGGGTGACAGTGGGAAATCAGGACTAGCGGTCTACACTGCTCTCAGTGCCAAGACTTCTTTAAGAGCCCCAGAAGATGTTGGAAATGCCTCTTTCATACCTTGATTGGCATTCAGAGGTAGTCCCATCTGACCCCAAAATCATGCTCCTTCTATGGAAAGGTGCCCTGCTGTGTGCTGTGCACCTGTACTCCCTGATTGAGTGGGATTCAGCTGGGCCCTGCAGAGCCAAGGAGGTCTTAGCCAGATGCAATAACTGCAGGTAGCTGCTTTAGAAATATACTCTGATATCAGCCCAAGGTTTAAACTCAAAATTGCCTTTATATTGGCCATTTTCCCCCATTAACTTCTGTTGATTCTTTTGCTCATTTGGTTTATGTCACCATTGGAATGATGAGCTGTAGTGACCCTTGGAGCTGTTATAGTTGGTGTAATTAAATATGTCAATTAAGCAACTTCAAAAAACAATCATTTAGCCTTCAACATCTTTGTAGATGTTATGATTTGTCATGCTTTTGCAGTTTTCAGGAAAATATATTAATGTATATCCATCTGAGGTACGTATCCAGTGCTTTTCTTGCAAGTTTTACAGAGCTGGGTGATAGTAGCACTTAGGATCACCTGGGATCATTTGGAGCCATTACTTGAACTGCTGTCCTAGTACCCATTAAAAAAAAAAAAAAAAAAAAAAAAAAAAAAGAAAGAACTGAATTGAGAAGGTATTTGAGAATTCTGAGAGAAAATGGCAAGAAACCGGTCAGGAAGCAAATGTTTACCTACAGCTTCAACAATGACTTCATTGTATGAGTGGTTTTCTCCTCAGCTTTGTAGTACTCTCAAATGTGTGTATGTAATATAAATTTTAAAAAAATTAAAAAGGCATAATTTTAGTTATCCAAGCTCCTTGAAATATGTTCCAGAACCTGTCAAGCCTTAGTGGAATTAGTTTAGGTATAATACATGTGCAGAAGAAATGTGAGGAGGGCCTTGTCTGTATGGTACCTACAGTGTCTGCACATAATTTTGAACACTGGTCAAGTGAAAGAGAAAAAAGAAAACAGGAATTTTAAAGATGTTACAGGGCTCTTCCGTACTTGCAGCTCTAAAAAGGTATATGTGTATATATATATGTGATTCTTATAGTTTAATTGCTGATGGACAGCACTATTGCATCTCAAATTTCAGCCTGGAGCCAAATTTTATAATTTGAGTTATAAACCCTTAAAATAAGGGTTTATGTTTATGATGGAATTGCTGACAGATGCGTATGTATAGTAGGACTAGCAGGCATTGGTGTAATTATGCCATTGTATCCTATCATTAAAGATTTCAATTGAAAGAGGTTTATAAATTGCTCTTCCACTTAGATAAACCACCCTACATTAAGGCATCAACAATATGGTGCAGAATTAAATTAAAATCTCATAAAATGAAATATGTTCTGTATTAGCTGTTTGACACTTAATTTGCCTCTGAATGAATAGAGGAAATCACAAATTAACCTGCCTTTGTTTTTCCAGCCATGGCTTATTACATGTTAGAACAACTGCAATTACAGCCCAATAATAACCCCCAACCCTTATGAATATGTACTGAAATGTGTCACTTTGTGTTACCAAAACCTGTTAGGACTGTGTAGTTATCTTGGAATTTCTACAGTACATCTCTGGTTTATACTTCAGGAAGATGTATGAAACTTGAGTTGTTCTTCAGCAGCAATGGATGAATGGCAGAATTGAGGCTGGGGCTTGTGTTCTCCTTTTATTATTGTGTTTTCTTTTTATTATTGTGTTTTCTCAAATTCAGTTTAAAAAATCCAGTAAACTAATTCAGTTTTGCTGCTTTACATTGAACTAGGAGGTTAAATTATGTGATAAACACCATATGATTAAAACAAACCAAAGGAAGCCTGTCTTTAGTAATCGCATTCCCTGCTTTGTTTTTCTTTGTGTTTTTGTTCAGCTTTTTCCTAATTTCCAAAACTGATTTCTAAAGTATGGTATTAAAGGAGGAGCTGACGCTTATTTCTGTTTTGGTCCTTGTCATCTGCTAGGTCATCCATTAGAGTGTGATGGCTTCTCTGGCTGGTGTGCAGTGATTCAAAATCATGCCACTAATGAGGGTGTTTATTTGAAATTAATACCATGAGCATGCTATTCTTCTTCAAGATCCAAATCACAGATTTATTATTGGCTAACTCTTCCAGTTGCTTGATGTCTTTGTTTGTAATGAGAGTTATTAGCAGTGAACAGAAGAAGAAGGATGTCTTGTCTATTGTTATGACAGTGCAAGTGTAAATAACTTCATAGTCCCACAAAATGTGTCTTAGCTGGGATGAGAGTTTTTATTTGTTAATTTTAAAACAATCTCCAAAGGCAGAGGCAAAATTCTGCTGATGGATTTAAATTCAGCGATTTAGGAAACTGTGGTTCTTGGCCATTCATGCATTCCCACGCTTCAACCAAGTTGCATCAGTAGGTTTTTCCCAGTATGCTTCATTTCAAGGTTGAGTTGGACAGCCTTTGAAGGTGACCTATCCTGACCACCTGTTACTGTGGCTTTGGAGGGAACGCACTCCTGCAGAGATGAGGCAGGGGATAACAGTGACAATATCAGGAATGGCTCTGGAGCAGTGGCTTGTACATCTTGGAGTGGTAAATGCATGTGTTGCAGGAGGCTATAGGAAAGCTAAAGTTTCAGGGCCGAATGCATTACAAGATGCAACATGCATGTTCGAAAATATTCATCCATTTAGCCTCCATCTCTTTCTGCCGTCCCTTTTTGCCTTAGCTCTGGATTACACATGAGGAAGAGTGAGCAGGTAAATCTAAGGGAAGGTGATACGCATATGCCTACAGTCCGGGGAGAATGCCTTTGCCAAGAGGAAGTTGCATGGTGCAGCTGGTGTATTTTAGCTTCCTAGGATCAGCAATATTCCAAGCTCCCTTTTTGTTTTCCTAACTGCTGATTGAGACTAGCAAGTTTGGCGCTCTTACACCCTGAAATGATGCATGTGCAGAGAACTGTGCATGTGCCTAACATGAATGCCTTGAACAGATATTTTGAACTTTCTCAATGCTCTGGTACTAAGCCAAAGCATGTGTTTTGCTTGCAGTCAGCTCCAAGTTGATAAAAAGGGAGTCTGATTCTTAAATATGTTATTTCATACATAGTTTATACACACATCAGTTACACAAGGGTGGAAAGAAAAGTGAGGCCCAGACACTCATCTTTCATCATCATCTGATTTTGGACCATGCAGCAAAATAGGGGATGCCCAAATATGAGAAGATTAAAGCATATCCTTGATTGTGAGAGAAACTGCTAGTCACACATTTGATAGGATGCTTATTTTTTCCCACCCTTGTCAC